TGTCGGAAAGCTGTTTGCTCGAGTCACATTGAAGAGGCTCCAAGTACTTGCAGAGAGATTCTATTCAGAATCATACTGCGGATTCCGAACGAACAGGTCCATCGACATATTTTTTTCCGACTGCAGGAGAAATGCAGGGAACAGAAGCAGCAACTCTTCATAACCTTCATAGATCTGACGGAGAGCTTCGACCTCGTCAGCAGGGATGGCTTGTTAAGTTCCTCCCCAAGATCGGATGTCCATCCAGGCTCCTCAGCATCATCAGATCTTTCTACGAGAACATGAAGGGCACCATGGTCTTTGATGGCTCAACATCAGACGCCTTCGACATCCGAAGAAGAGTAAAGCAGGGCTTGACGCCTTCGGATATGCCACAGAAGGCATCTACCTCTGGACCAGGTCGGACGGAAAGCTCTTCAATCTCGCCGGGCTGAGAGCCAAGACAAACGTTCCACTGAGGTGCATTCGCAACTTCCTTTTTTGCTGACGACGCAGCAGTCACCGCCCACTCAGGTGAAGACCTCCAATGGCTCAAGAGCCGCTTCAGCGAAGCCTGTCAGGTTTTCAGACTCACCATCAGCCTAAAGAAAACACAGGTCATGGGACAACGACTGGACTCTCCACCTGACATTGGTATCTCTGATTACAAACTGGGTGCCGTTCATGACTTCGTGTAACTGGACTCCACAATCTCTGACTCCCTCTCTCTCCATACGGACCTAAACAAACGCATCGGTAAGGCATCAACAACCATGGCGAGACTGACAAAGAGAGTGTAGGCTAACAATAAACTGAGTATACAAAGATCCAGGTTTACAGAGCCTGTGTCCTGAGCACTCTCCTATATGGCAGTGAGTCTTGGACACCCTGTGCTCATCAGGAAAAAAACCGAACAACTACAACATGCGCGGCCTCCGACACATCTTGGACATCACCTGGCAGGACAAAATAACAAACAATAGCATCCTGGGGAAAGCTAGAATCACCAACATGTACACAATGCTGAAGCAGAAACGAATGCGCTGGCTCGGGCACGTGGTGCGAATGGGCGACGGCAGGATCCCCAAGGATCTCCTGTATGGAGAGCTGACGCAGGGAAAACGTCCAACAGGCAAAGCCCAGCTACGGTATAAAGACATATGCAAGAGGGACCTAAAAGCCATGGACGCCGATCTTGTCATGTGGGAAACATTCTGGTGTCCTTCAGCCTGAACGGCCGCAGACCGATCAGCCTGGAGGCAGTCTGTTCAGAAAGGTCTCTCCAAGTTCGTGGAGTCACTTGCTAAACAATCGAAGGCAAAGAGACAGAAGGAAAGCCGGTAGCCAGGAAGGCAGACCAGAATCAGACTTCGTTTGTGCTCAGTGTGGAATGGACTGCCACTCTCGGATTGGCCTCATCATTCACACCAGATGCTGCACCAGGATTGACAAGCAGAGCACAACTCCATAGTCTCCCGAGACTGATGGATGCCTACTAGGGATCATATCACCTCTTTTTCTTCTATCTTCCAGTTTTGGCATGTTTAACGCCTCTAGTCTCTTCTCGTAACTCTCGTTTTTCAGTTCCGGAAGCAATTTTGTAGCATGCCGTTGCACCTTTTAAATTATATTTATGTGCTTCTTGAGATTTGGGCACCATACAACAGTTGCATATTCCAATTTTAGTCTGAAGTTCCAAAGGCATGAACAGATTCTTTAGTATTTCACCTTCCATATAATTAAAAGTTAGTCTGTAGTTGGAAAGCGATGCATACACTTCTCTGACAATGTTCTTTATGAGTTCCTCTGGCGAGAGCTTACTATCCAAAACCACCCCTAGGTTCCGTTCTTAATTAGATTTCTGTAATTTCTTTCCACATAATTTGTAAGTTGTGTGTGGTCTATTTTCTACAATTCCACATTCCATAACATGGCATTTATTCACATTGAATTCCATTTGCCACATAATGCTCCAAGCACCTAATTTTATCTACATCAAATTGAAGGGCATTACAATCGTCTGCGTCTCCTATCTTCCGCGTATCTTAGCATCATCCATAAACATGTACATATAATTCTGTATTCTTTCTGGTAGATCGTTTATGTAGACGATGAACATTACTGGGGCAAGAACTGAACCCTGTGGTACTCCACTAGGAACACTCCTCCAGTCAGATAGATTGTCTCTGATTACTACACTTATCTGTCTGTCAGAAATTTTTGCGTCCATGTCAGTAGTCTCTCTGGCACCCCTCCAGCATGTTCCAGTTTCCAGAACAGCCTCTTGTGAGGGACTATCAGAAGCAGTTTTTAGGTCCAAATAGGCACAGTCAACCCAACCACCTCTTTCCTGTAGTATCACTGTGGCTCTAACATAAAAATTAAGTAGATTTGTTACACAGGATCTTCCTGTTCGAAAACCATACTGTCTATCCGTTATCATATCATTACTCTCAAGGTGTTCAACCCATTTGGCTTTAACTATTTTTTTCTAGTATGTTAACTACCACGCTTGGTAATGATACGGATCAATTATTTAGAGGATTCTCTCGACTACTATTTTTATAGATTGGTACTATGTTTGCCTTTTTCCATATATCTGCTAAGATTCCTGTGCACAAGTATATCTGGAATATTAATTGGAGTGGAATGCTCAGCTCAGTTGCATATTCTTGCAGCACTCAAACATGAAACTCCATCAGGTCCTAACGCTTTATTTCTTCCGAGCCACTTGAGTAATTTATCCACTTCTTCTTGAGATACCACTATGTATTTATTCTATGGCATACTCCTACCCGGCTTCAGTCCAAGTCCATTCTGTCCAGCTGTCGACCCCAAAGATGCATTCATCAATTTTTTACATTCTGTTCATTCCAAATAGAACTTTTCTCAAATATAAATTACTGTTATATATTAGCATATTGTGCATATTTAGGCCCTGGTTAGGTTAAGTTATGTGTTTAGGTTATGTTTGCGATTATTTGATGTTGTTGTACGTGGGTGAAGCACTTACAATGCTGTAGTTCAAATTAAAGTCGTCAGCGAAGAACTTGTTCCGGAAGTGTTCGGACGTCATCGACTGTGAGTTGTCTGTAAACCGTTTTTCATTCATAAGCAGGGGGTTTGGCGGTTGCATGGAATGGACTTCGGGTCTTTGTTTAGAGGACGGGCTGAGTACTCTTGAATTGGTATTTGGTCCGACTTTTGAATACCTTATTTTGTTCAAACACACTTTGCAATTGTTCATTTAGTATTTCACACATTTCTCTTTCATTCTCAGTAGTCCTGTTCCCCATTATCAATCTCTAGACTTCACCCATTATATTCAGCATGCTTTTAATGAATTTATAGAAAAGTCCTGGATCAGTTTTACATTTGTCCATTATACCTTTCTCAAAGTTCCTTTCTGCCTCTCTCCTCACTGTTGTGCAATTGTTTCTTGCTTGCTTGTAGCGTTGGTATCTTTGCGGGTTAGGCCTTCTTCCGATACTGAACCATTTTCTTGCCATTTTCTCGCTGGCCCTCTCATAATCTCTGTTGAACAATCCTGTTTTTCTGGTCCTGCATCTCTATATTGTATGAATGTGTGGTGGGCCTTCAACATATAATTCGTAAAATTTGGCATACATCTCATTTATTTACTGGCCTAGCACAAAGTCTGTCCAATTAAACTCATTAAAGAATTTTCTAAGTTCACATAGTGTCCTCTCTTGAAATAGAGTTTATCAACTGTTTCAATGTCCCAATTCTCTTCTAGATTATATCGCAAAGCATATTTAATTTCCAACAGGACATGATCACACTTTCCCCAAAAAGGAAGGTACTGGATGTCAAATATCTCTTCTTCTTTCCTGGTGTACTCACCTAGTTGTGCTTGCAGGGGTTGAGCTCTGGCTCTTTGGTCTTGCCTCTTAACTGTCAATCAACAGGTGTACAGATGCCTCAGCCTACTGGGCTCTATCATATCTACATTTGCAACTGTGTATGGAATCTGCCTCCTGCACATCACTTTTATACATACCATCTGTTAACTACTCTGGCACTGAAAAAGTTCTTTCTAACGTGCATGGGGCTCATTTGGGTACTCAGTTTCCACCTGTGTCAGCTTTTTCACGTACCACTCATGTTAACCTTCCATGGTGTACACACAGAAATCACAATAGCATGATATATATCTTATGAACAAATCCACAAGGGCCGTGAGGAGGGTTCGAACTTGTACGCAGGTTGTTCCCAGATGCGCCTTAGTCAACTGTACCATAACGTGGTCAAAAGAATTGCTACCTGGAGTTCTACTGCCCTCACGAGAATCCCAGAGCTTTGGGATTTGGGATTTCACCCAATCTGGAATTGTGTGAAACCCCGTCTGTGCTTTGGAGAAGCTTCGAGATCCTTGTGAGGGCAGTAGCACTCCAGGATGCATTTTTTTGACCATGTCGTGGTACAGTTGATTAAGGTGCATCTGGGAACATCCCATGCATAGGTTCGAACCCTCATCACGGACCTTGCTGATTTGTTCACCTTTGGTGTATTTATGTGGGTGTGTATGTTCAAATATGCAAAAAAGTATGTGTACATGCATGTGTGTGTACTCACCTAGTTGTGCTTGTGGGGACTGAGAGTTGGGTTTATGGTTCCCCTCTCAATCTTCAGTGGTGTAGTTTCTGAGCCTATTGGGCAATATCACATATGCATTTAAAACACACTAAAAATATCCTTTCTAATAACTCTGTGGTTCATAATGGCCCTAAGTTTTCACCTGTGCCCCCTTCTTTGGGTGCCACCGTATTAAATGGTCTGTCGTTATCTACCCAGTCAGTTCCTCTGGGGATTTGGTACGGGTAATCATGTCTCCCCTAACTCTACTGTACGGTAGCCTCACCTGGTAGCTTTTACCCCTCAGTTCCGGGACTAGTTAGGCGACATATCTCTGAACTTTCTCTTACATTCATTTGTATGTATGAGTGCATAGGGATTTTCACATGTGAAAATATATAGTGAGTGTAAAAAGTCGAACCTACACGAAAGTACTGAACGTTGGTTGAGTTGGTCTGCCACAGCATTGTTATGGTGGGATGGTCGAGGACGTCACGTATGGTCTGGAAGGGTTGACGGATGTGCCTCACTGCCAGCCCCGACATAAGGTCTCCCTGGTAGCTCCTGCTCACCACCAGACCCAATACCATCCACGCCACCAACACAAGCCGCCTCCACCCCACGATGGCTGAAGCTCTGTAGTCTTTGCCACCAGGAAGAAGAAAACTGTTTACGAGAGTTGTTCGAGTGTTCGTCTCTATATCAATATTTATTGTTTTTGTCAACGTTGTTTTTACTTTTGTTACTGTATTATTACTCATATTGCTACTTTGGTTACTGTAATATTACGCATATTGCTACTTTTGTTACTGTATTATTACTCATATTGTTACTTTTGTTACTGTATTATTACTCATATTGTTACTTTTGTTACTGTATTATTACTCACATTGTTACATTTGTTACTGTATTATTACTCACATTGTTACTTTTGTTACTGTATTATTACTCACATTGTTACATTTGTTACTGTATTATTACTCACATTGTTACTTTTGTTACTGTATTATTACTTACATTGTAAGAAACGTATCTGTAACAGTGTGTTATTTATGACAGTTTGAAATATATCAAATGAATATAAATTAAATGATCTGAACTACAATGAATGTAAACAGAATGGGACTCAGTAACGAGGATGTTAATGAGGCTACACTACGCAGCCACAACATTGGTGACATTTAAAAGTTGGAGTTGATTTTTAAATATTAAGTATATTTTAATCAAGATTTTTTTATATATAGTTGGTGTAGTACCCGACGGTGCCCGGGTCCGCCACACATCATTACACTCAAACAAATAAATACAAAATATGAGAAAAACGATTTATAAATGCAAGCATGTACGGCAGCTCAATATATGCCAACACCTCTTCTCTCTCTTCTCTCTCTCTCTCTCTCTCTCTCTCTCTCTCTCTCTCTCTCTCTCTCTCTCTCTCTCTCTCTCTCTCTCTCTCTCTCTCTCTCTCTCTCTCGTTGTACATTTTTTTGCAAGTCTAAAGTTCAATAGGAATGCCACTGATGAACCATGGAGGATATACAACCTGCAATCATTGCTAAATGCAAAACAATACTAATGCATAAATAATTAAATTAAATATTTAAAAAAATATATATATATATTGACGACATTAGCTGTCTTCCAACTTTCCGGTAGATCTCCTATTGCCATTGTGAATTTGAAACCTCTTAGAATTCATGGTGAGATTCTGTCAGGCCGAACAGCCTTTGTCAAATTCATACCCAACAGATGTTTCTCTCACTCTTTCTCTCTCTCTCTCTCTCTCTCTCTCTCTCTCTCTCTCTCTCTCTCTCTCTCTCTCTCTCTCTCTCTCTCTCTCTCTCTCTCTCTCTCTCTCTCTCTCTCTCTCTCTCTCTCTCTCTCTCCTCTCTCTCTCTCTCTCTCCTCTCTCTCTCTCTCTCTCTCTCTCTCTCTCTCTCTCTCTCTCTCTCTCTCTCTCTCTCTCTCTCTCTCTCTCTCTCTCTCTCTCTCTCTCTCTGTGGTGTGAAAATACTTAAAAAAATAATAGTAGTAGGCATCCAACAGTCTCAGGAGACTATGGAGTTGCGCTCTGGTTGTTGGTTTGGAGTGGCCTCTCCAGGGCACAAAGCCAGGGTAGTTTGATATGGGGGAGAAGCCGTTACCCATGCAGCAGGTACCCCTCTCTCTCCATGGCACCGAAAGTTTCCAATGGAAAGGCAGACGCCAATATGATTAGTTTCGGCGCAGTCGCAGGAACTGCCAGAACGAGGTTGAAGGTAACAACAAACTGCCCTAGGTGCTCCAGCTCCGGAATTTATCTCGAGGTTAGTGAAAGAAGGCAAAGTGACTCCAAACCTGGAGACCGCCATGGGCGACGGTCACTAAAAGTCTCTAAAGGTATACAAAGAATACTTAACCCTTATTATGGGTAATAACATTTTCGGGCAGATGGGACTCGTCAGCCTGGGAAGGCAGCTCATCGAGAGGAAGGATAACCCCAAATTCATACCTCTGCTGTCTTGTGGCTAAACCCACTCATGGGGAAAGGCTTTGGGAGTCAACCCCCGAGGAAAAATCCGGAGCCGGAGTCCCTAAGGCAGTTTGCAGCTGTTTACAGATTAATTCTGGCAACTCCTGCGACGACACTGGAGCCAACCATATCGGTGCCTGCCCTTCCCTTGGATCACATCGGTGGAGTGGAGAGGGTGGATCTGCTGCATGGGCCACAGCCGGTTCTCCATAATTACTGCCCAGGCCTGTACCCAGGAGAAGACACTCCAGCATCCCCTTGGCGATGTCTCAACACGGGAAGAGACAGCTACCGGTGGTAAGCATACCGCTCAATTGGCAGAGTGAGGTGCTAGGGGTTGCCTCTGTTGGTGGGAGAAATTTTCTTATTTCATAGGACAGCTACCGCCCGCCTCAAACTGGCAGCCCGCAGCCAATAAGGTGCTGTCACGCCACGGTCCGCCTGCTCGCTCCACTGGGTGCGTCTGGCTTAGGCCACAATCCAACAGGCGGGTCGTCAACCGGGTAAAAATAAAACAAACACAGAGCCGCCCAGCTCTCAAACTAGGCACGTGGAATGTAAGGACCATGTCATCGGGTCTTTCGGAAGATCTACTGAAAGTGAACGCCACCCGTAAGACAACTGTGATCAACAATGAACTATGGACAGATGGACATAGTCGCCCTGCAGGAGACACGTCTGCCCGCGACAGGCAGCATGCGGGAGAAGGATTTTACCTTCTTCTGGCAGGGCAAACCACCAGAAGATGTAAGGGAGCATGGTGTTGGCTTTGCCATCAGGAACAGGTTGTTAGGATCTACAGTACCGCCCACGGATGGGTCTCCCAGGATCATAAAACTTCAGCTTAATTTAGCAGAACGAATGGTCAGCCTGATCAATGCGTACGCACCAACACTGACCTCTTCTATCGAAACGAAGGACGAGATCTATGATGACCTCGGCCTAGCTCTCAGAGACATACCTCAACAAGAGTCAGTCTTCCTCCTGGGAGACTTTAATGCAATAACTGGTTCTGATCACAGCTCTTGGCCTCCCTGCCTGGGCCAGTTTGGATTTGTGACGATTGATGAATGGGAGTGGGCAGCGCATCCTGAAGTTCTGCTGCCGTCATGATCTCTGCATCACGAATTCCTTTTCGACACCAAGTCCCAGCACAAGGTTTCCTGGAGACATCCCAGGTCTAAGCATTGGCACCAACTCGACCTGGTGCTTACGGGGCGTAACAATCTGAGAAGTGTCAAACTGACCCGCAGCTTCCAGAGTGTAGATTGTGACACCGACCACTCTCTCGTTGTTTGCAAAGGAAAGTTCCAGCCCCGGAAAATCCACAGAGCAAAGAAGGAGGGAAGACCACGCATTAACGTAAACAAGACCCGTGACCTTCACAAGGTGGAGGAATTCACTTGCTGAACTGTTAAATGCCCTTCCTGTACCACCCTGTGATAGCGCAAGTGAGAGGTGGTCACATCGCAGGGCATTTTCAAACACTGGACTAAACTGGAAAAGGTTCAAAGGTTTGCCACCAGACTAGTACCCGAGCTGAGAGGTATGAGCTACGAGGAGAGACTACGGGAATTAAACCTCACTTCGCTGGAAGACAGAAGAGTTAGGGGGGGGGACATGATCACCACATTCAAGATTCTGAAGGGAATTGATAGGGTAGATAAAGACAGGCTATTTAACACGAGGCACACGCACAAGGAGACACAGGTGGAAACTGAGTGCCCAAATGAGCCACAGAGACATTAGAAAGAACTTTTTTTTAGTGTCAGAGTGGTTGACAAATGGAACGCATTAGGCAGTGATGTGGTGGAGGCTGACTCCATACGCAGTTTCAAGTGTAGATATGATAGAGCCCAATAGGCTCAGGAATCTGTACACTTGTTGATTGACGGTTGAGAGGCGGGGCCAAAGAGCCAGAGCTCAACCCCCGCAAACACATCTAGGTGAGTACAACTAGGTGAGTACTGGAATGTCCATCTTCGGTAAGAGGCAGAACAGGTCAGCAGATTGGTTCGAGGCCAGTCAGAGAAACTTGTACCCATCGTAGAGGAAAAGAGACGAGTGCTCTCATCCTACAAGAGACTACCCTCAGAAAGGAACCTATAGGTCTTCCGTACTGCCCGCAGTAGAGTTCAACAAACTGTGAGGCGCTGTGCTAACGATTACTGCCTCCGACGTAAGAGTCAACATAAGAGCCATGTACGAAGGGATCAAACAGGCAACAGGCCCTACACAAAACAGGACGACTCCTCAGAAAGTCAGCCACTGGAGAGATCATTAAAGACCATGATCAACAGATGAATCTCTGGGTGGAACATTACTCTGAACTCTACTCCAAAGAGAACTTAGTCAGCGTAGAGGCCTTGGATGCAATTGAATGCCTGCCCATCATGGAAGAACTTGACCTTGAACCAACTGTGTAAGAAGTTGAGAAAGCACTGGATTCACTTTCCTCAGGGAAGGCCGCAGGAGACGACGGGATTTCGCTCGTGGAACACCTAAAACTTAGCTTCATGAATCTGTGCCCGTGCTGGAGGGAGGGCTCGGTGCCACAAGACTTGAGAGATGCAAACATCATCACTCTACAAAAATAAAGGTGACAGAAGCGATGTCAACAACTATCGCGGCATCTCCCTCCTCAGAGTCGTCGACAAACTCTTCGTCAGGGTCTTCTTGGTCAGGCTTCAGATTCTCGCTGAAAGAGTGTACCCTGACTCACAGTGCAGTTTCCGAGCAGAGAGGTCGACCACTGACAGGGTGTTCTCCCTGAGACAGCTTCAAGAAAAGTGCAGGGAGCAGAGAAAAGCCTTGTACATCGCTTTCATTGACCTTACAAAGGCCTTCGACCTCGTGAGTAGGGACGGACTCTTGAAGATCTTGGCCAAAATTGCCTGCCCTCCCTCCCTACTCAGCATGATACAATCGTTCCACAAGGACATGAAGCTAACAGTCGTGTACGACGGCCCAACTTCTAAACCATTCAACATCAACAGAGGTGTATTCTTGCTCCAACCCTGTTCGGCATCTTCTTCACGATCCTTGTCAAGCATGCCTTTGGAACAACCACAGAGAGCATCTATCTCCGTACAAGATCTGATGGAAAGCTCTATAATCTATCCAGACTCAGAGCAAAGACGAAAGTACAAATACGAATCCTCAGGGAGTTCCTCTTCGCCGATGATGCAGCGATCACCACACACACACAGCAGAAGGCCTGCAGCAGCTACTCTACCGCTTTACCACAGCCTGTTCCGCATTCGGCCTGACAATCAGCCTGAAGAAGACACAGGTGATGGGACAAGATATCAATGAGCTACGCTGTATAAACATCACAGACTATGTGCTGGAGGCGGTCCACGAGTTTGTGTACATTCACATTCTCAGACACCCTTTCCCTGGACACTGAGCTCAACAGGCGTATCGGGAAGGCCGCAACAACACTGGCCAGGCTCACAAAGCGTGTTTGGGAAAATGTCAAACTGACAGTGCAGACCAAGCCACAAGTCTACCTGGCATGTGTGGTGAGTACACTTCTCTACAGCTCGGAATCCTGGACCCTGCGCCTCGCCAGAAGAGACGGATCAATACCTTCCACATGCGGAACCAGAGACGCATCCTTGACATCACATGGAAAGACCACGTCACTAGCATCACAGTACTCGAGAGAACAGGAATCCCTCCAATGTTCACTCTCCTGAAGCAGAGATGCATGTGATGGCTGGGACATGTCACACACATGGTAGAGGGCCGCATACCGAAGGACCTCTTATATGGAGAACTGGCATCAGGAAAGAGACCCACTGGAAGACTCCAGCTGCGTTTCAAAGACGCCTGCAAACGTGACCTCAAGCAGATGAACATTGATATCAACACTTTGGAGGCAGCAGGTGCGGACAGATCTGCCTGGAGATGCAAAGTTCAGCAATTCGAAGGTGAACTGAAAAGGCAGATGGAGGATAATAAACTTCAGAGGAGGTCTCGACCACTGTCAGACGCACCTGCTTCGGCGTTTATCTGTGCTCGCTGCAGTCGGGACTGTCATTCTCGGGCTGGCCTTCATAGCCACAGCAGGCATTGCATCCAACTAGACTAGAATAACTGTACACTCAGGGCACAACTCCATAACCCTACGGGATTGACGGATACCTACATGATTAGGGGTAATAATAATTATGGACAGCAGAAAAAAATATGTTAATTTTCCCGAGATCATTTGAATAATGTTGTGCTATAAGTTTATTTTTAAAATATTTACCAGTGAAGTTGTCCGGCAGTGCCAACAATTGTCGTGGGGGTTCTAATAGGACCCTACCACACTGTTCTCGTTTGAATTCTGGCGACCCCGACTAGCCTTTGTTCATCCAGTACCCCAGACCATTCTCTCTGCCAATTTGGGCAAAAATAGCCCCAAGCATTTGGCCTCCAACTTTGGACAGACAGACAGAGCCATTCTCAAGCATAGTACAGATAAATCAACAAATTACTTTGAGAAGTCTAAAATTTGTGGATACACAATTGAGCAGAGACAGAGTTATTCAACTCATGTTTCATTTTTCACAATACATATAGATTCGAAGCTGCTGCGATCAAATCTATGGGAATTGGAAGTAAAAACAAGTTCGCTGTAATTTAGGAGGATTGATTGATTCTTCATAGTTATCTAAAACAGCAGATGGTGCAACATGCCTAAACCTCAACCCTCTGTGGTAAGAGATGTGCTCGCAGACACGCCAGGTCTGCGAGCACATGGGGCATCTCTAACAACAGAGGCTTGTGGAAAGAGTTTGAACATTTAAAAGGCAAAAGTCACCATATCATAGATCAAAGGATAAAGGATCTCGTTGTTTTAAATACCTTCCAATATTATGATTATTGGTCAACATAAACTGAAAGTTAATTTGTGCAAAGTAATGTATAAAAAATTACAAAGGTCTTTCTAATATAATAAATACCAAACCCAAATAAGAAAATTTCACAATAATGCCTCCGAGTCATTTTTTTGCATGGAAGGACCATACGATCCCATTCAGCTGTGAAAGGTTCTCTTGGGATTATCATGCCACCAGGACAATGTTACATTATTTGTCAAGAAGTCATATTTCTCTCTCAGTGTTTAACTTACCTGTTTTAGAACATTGTCATGTTAAATGAAAACTGATTGGAAAATGTACTCAGAATGTTAATATTACAAAAACCTATAGTTTCTGTTTAAAACTATTTAAGTTGGTTGAAAAAGTTGACTCAATATAATGAAAACGAGTTAAATGTCAAATACATTTGATCCCATATAACCTTTAACTAATTTAAAAACCTCACACAGACTAAGAAACAGTACTTAACTAACCTTGTTGTAACAATATTCGAGTCAAGTCAAAAATGTCCTTCCCCCAGGTGTACTGTTTAAGAGTTGTGACTGAGGAGCATGAAGCCAGGAGCACCATCACGACAGGCAGCACCAGCAGCGCCGTCAGGATGGCCGCCCACACCAGGGGCTCCAAGGGCAGCACGAAGCCCCAAGGGTCCACAACTGGACGCCCTCGAGCGCCCATGATCATTGAGTACTGGATGGTGAATGGCCAGGTGAAGTCTATAACCTCAGTGCGACTCTCAGTCATACCAAACGGGCCAATGGAGAAGTCTGCCTCCTGTGTTGATCAGTCGACAAAATTGTATGAATGTAGTGATCATCTGCACTCTGTTATCATGAAAACACTCCTACTAACATGTTGACCAGACCACACTAGATGGTGAAGGGACGACGACGTTTCGGTTCGTCCTGGACCATTCTCCAGGACGGAAAGGAGATTCTCATGTCACAATCGACTTGAGAATGGTCCAGGACGGACCGAAACGTCGTCGTCCCTTCACCTTCTAGTGTGTGGTCTGGTCAACATACTTTAGCCACGTTATTGTGACTCATCGCCTGCATATCCTACCAATATAATTAATAACAACCACTCTACAGGGAAGCCAGCAGTTACTGTGCTGGGAAGCTAGCGGTTACGGTGCAGGGAAGCCAGCAGTTACTGTGCAGAGAGTCCCTGATCAACACCAGTATTGAAACATCACTTTAGTGAGATGTCTGCGAACAGGCCACAAGTCAGGTTCTCGGGGACTGAACAAGAACAACGCCCCAGGAGACTACTGGAGACTTTCTCAGCAGGTTCAAGTTGGAGGCTTCTAAAGCAGGTTCCTGTAGGACACTCCATCAGTAGGTCCCTGTAGGACACTCCATCAGTAGGGGCCTGTAGGACACTCCATCAGTAGGTCCCTGTTGGACACTCCTGCAGTTGGTCCCTGTAGGAGACCTGAAGATGCACTAGCAACGGGGCTTTATTGAAGATAAAATAAGTTTTACACACCACCAGACCAGGACCTAGATTCAGGAAGCTCTGTGTATTTCTTCGTAAGTGGGTTTGCTACGAAGGTTCCTAAGTGCGCCCTAAGAAGATGCTTAGGTGCGATTCAATAAGGTATACTTAGGAAGAAAATTGTTGGTTCACCTGCGTGCCGATAGAGGTCACTACTGTGTTTCGTTTGGCCAATCAGAGAGCAGCAACATTCTTCATATTGAAGATTTAGCGCTGGCTTATCGGAGCTCTACTGCCTCCTATTTACGTCGAATTTTCTTATAAAATTAGTATATTTCGAAGTAAAACAATGTTTTTTTAACTTCTACAGCCAGCACCGACATTGTAGTAAACAAATATGTTACATTTGTTGTTTACCTACGTAATTCTAAGAGATACTGTGTAGCTGTCCTTGTTGCTCGGAAGATGCGCTGACAATTATTGTATATATTTACTGAATTTACCCAAGGGCCACTAACTATCTAGTGACCTCGAAGAGGACAGAAAGCCGGCGGCTTGTTAAAGGGCCCGCCAATTGTCTTAATGATATTTTTTAGCTGGAATTTGGCATTTACGGCTTCAGCGGGTAGGCCGTTCTATGGGTTTATAGCCCTCTTGGTGGAAAAAAAACATCTGTTTTCTGTCCTACTTGAGAGAACATACTCTCCAACACTATATCTGTGATTGTCCTGTTATCAGTGACTTCATACCAAATGGTATGAGGTATTTTGAGCTCTGTAATTACTTCATACACTCGGGAATATTGGAAGATATTCTTGTGCTGCACCCAGATTTTGCCAGTGGAGGATAATAGATCAGCATTAAGTATTTTGTTCTCTCCTAATTCCATGTATGACTGGCCATCCTGTGAGGTGAGGATGTTGGGTGAGCTTGTAGCTGGTTTTTTATCTACACTGTGTGGTCCTTTATACAGAATAGGGAAGCAGCACATTGCTGTGTATACCTAAACATGTTTAAAAATACATTGTTTGAGAGGAGTTTTGTAGAAACTGGTAAGAGTAATTATAATATAATGTTTCCATGATTCAGTGCTTACCTCTTGTGAAAATTGCTTAGAGTTGTTTAGTCAGAGTTGATTTGCTTTTTGTATTGAGGCTGGTATTTTCTAAATTGATTCCATGTACAGTATGTCTAACCATCCTGTGAGATGGGAGTATTAGATAAACTTATAGCTAGTTTTTTATCTACACTGTGTAATATTCCATATACAATAGGCAGCACATTGCTGTGTATACCTAATCTTCTTAATAAAAAAAATCAGTAATAAAGATTTTAAATTATAGTTTGTATTATTACAAATACAGTACTGTATTATCCTTATTAAATCATGTTGACCATGGATCATTAAGATCTCATGTTGATATGTAATACAAGTCATATTTCTTTTGAACTGCTAATCCATGCTAATCATTCATTAAATTGTGCATTATGTCTCAATTTTTCACTTCTTTGGATATACTGTACAGTACAAAAAGATAGGATAAAAATAAACCAGTAATATTTCTTTCATTATATTTTTCATTTAAATAACTGCATCAATATTTTTACAGCTGACAGGATTTGTTTTCTCATACAGGTGCATTATTTGTTAAAAAAAATTTGGTTTATTGTTACACACAATGGTGCTACATAGCCTTCCCAGCTTGGTGCCTTCTTTTAATACTTACTGATTAAAAAATAACTAATAAATACATTTTATTCAGGAAAAGTACATACAGTTGATTTACAAACATAATGTTGGATTTATAGGCAGAGCTAGTACATACAATACCTAAAGCCACTAATACTCATAGCATTTCGGGCAAGGTGTGGGGGGAAAAAAGCACAGACTAAAACTTAATAGTAATTGGGATTAGGTATAAATTGTGTTGAAAGAAGGAATAAAAAATACAAAAAGGGGGTTAACATAGCATAAATCAGCAATTGCACATGTTGGTGAACAGCGTTGTTTAAAAAATACCAAGACATGGGTTGACATTTAGGAGGTAAGTTAGGTTACATGGAGTTAATTAGGCAGTACTTGGTTTAACTCTTAAACTGGTTGAGAGAGGTACAGCCTTTGACATGATTCGGGAAGTCATTCCACATTCTGGGTCCCTTGATTTGTTGAGCACTTCTAGTTTGGTTACACACAGCCAAATTGAGTAACAGGAAGAGGTCTTGGACACAAATTTATTCCATGCTAAATGTAGAGGAATCAGCTGAGTATTCCTCAAATAAAATAAGTTGCCTCAGCTTATAAGGTAAATAAAATAAGCATTTCTCAAATAAGTAGCTGCCTCACCTCACTGCTACATAGCCTTCCCGGCATGGTGCCTTCTTTTGATAATTACTTGTTCCACACCCAAATTGTATAACACGAAGAGGTCTTGGACCCCTACTTCCCTCTCTCTTTTTTAATAATCTATATAGTCATAATTATAGCTTTAAGTATTCAATGAATAAAGTTTTTGACATTTTTACCCTTTTCCTTACCTAACATCATTTGTGCAGCATATTTTTATTTTATGTCTCACCCAGATTTAATTTCAAAATAAAACCAAACTAAATAAATTAGAAATGGGTATGTATAGCTAAGGTACACCCTTACTACTAGGTGAACAGGGGCATTTGGTGATAGTAAATGATCCCATCAGGCAGGGCTCATCACCTTCTCTCATATTTCATGTTCACCAGTGTTTATTTACTTAATAACTACTGGTATAATATCTTGCTATTATAAAACTAATTCTACTATCATCAAACACATATTTACTTCAAGTTTCAAGCAGAGAATGCATATATAACTAACATGAAGGATTCCTCTTCACTAGATTCACCAGCTATAATATTTTGGTCATGTTCCAATATCATAAATCGATCCCAGTGTTATGTAGTAGAGAAAAAATGACTTATATCCAGTTTACGTAAAGCTACGAGTGGTCGAAACCACACTTAAATCCCGGAATGAACTTACGAAGGTTTTTCCACTTAGGGTAGTTAATTGAATACGGACGTAGCCGCCACGAAGGCGCTAAGACGGAAAACGTTCTTAGCTAAGAGGAAAAACCTTCGTAAGTACCTTCCTGAATCCGGCCCCAGACCACCAGATCTAACATATGTAACGTAATTGTACTTTACGGCTCGTTGTACTAACAGAGACAAGAAATTAACGGTCTAGGGACATAATAAGACTCTGTATCTAACCGCGTGCAACCAGTGTAAACCCGTAGTTACGTACATACAAAATAATTAGAATCAAAATCACCAGGGAGAAAAATATTACACCTGTATATATAAAAAGATTTATATTAAATAAAAATGTATAATAATCCAGGTAATTATTCCTTCAGGTATAATAGTAAATCAGATGACTTACATTCTATAATCAAATAATATAAATTCTCACCAGACTAATTGTACTACTAAAACAACACAGAAATAAAACACAGAACAGACACTTATCCATAATCAGACCAGTTGACCCAACGCTCGTCTCCCAGTTACTGACTCTCGCGCCGTCTCTACCCATAATTCTCTCCCCCTCCGCCTCATCCAGGATGAGTGATGGAAAATAGGACTTTTTAATATTTACAACTAATTCAAATAACCACTTGTTCTCAAAATACATAAGAATGCAAATAAAATATAATAGTTACCTTCAAAATATATAAGTTACAATGCCACCTGTTTAATTACAGTAAATTAACAAATATATGAATATTAAAAAGTGACAGTTGGAACTCCCATAACTAAACAGGTCCAGCAATTCTAATTTCCCGAATCTAACAGGTATTAGACGATGACGAGCAACCCCGCTCCTGTCTCACTGATATTGCCACACCACACGATAATTTACAAATATATATATATATATATATATATATATATATATATATATATATATATATATATATATATATATATATATATATATATATAATATATATATTTGTAAATTATCGTGTTAAATTATCGCATGGCTAGTCTGAGTGCTGGATATATGTGTATATATATATATATATATATATATATATATATACATATATCCAGCACTCAGACTAGCCATGCCGAAAGCCAAGAAACAATCCAGTTGGGACAGCCCCATTGTAGACAAAGAAGCCACAGCTTTGCTGGAGGCAGCAACAACCCCCAGTGATCGTGCACGCCTCACAGCTGTGCAGGCTCCCCATGCAGGGGACTTCCTTTTGGCAGTCCCTATGTCTGCGACAGGCACACGTCTTGATCCGCAGGAGCTCCGTATTGCAGTCGCTCTCCGTCTTGCTGCCCCTATC